ACATGGTACAACTACCGGATCATAATTTTCTTTAATTTTAAAATCACAAGGTTTGATGTCTATTGACCCTAAACCTTCAAAAACGTCAGCAAACTGATTTTTCATTGTACATTCAACTGAATCATTTGAACTAATAGCGTTTATTGCTGGTTCTCTATTAACTAATTTAAGTTTTTCACAGGATTCTAATACAGGTGCTGCATGTTTATCTGTTTCAATAACCACAAATCTAAATATATAATCATCACTATTAAACTGAATATTTAATAAACAAGAACCCAAAATTTTAAGTTTTTCTCCACCATAAACTGATATATACCCGCCAGTTTGATCTAATTCTACATCTAAATTTAATTGGTCAAAAATGTATTTTGGAAGAACATTTATGTCAGAACCCGTGTCTATTTTAATGCGAATACGCTTGTTACAATCTAAAACTCTAATTATTTCAAACCAAACATTATTCTGATTATTATTGATACTATCCAACACATAATTATTACTTGTACTATTGTTATCAACCTGATTACTCTCCTGTTTACTATCGATAATGCTGTTAACATTCTTTGTTTTACAAACAAAACTAAAATGACCTTTCCGAGAACATTTAAAGCAGGTTTTATTTAATGCAGGACACTCACGAAAATTTTGGTGCCAATTCTTTCCACATCGATTACAGATTCTCAATTTTTTCATATCTTCTGTCTTCCCTTCTTGTCGGTCACTCCATTTGCATGGTCCTGAGGTCACCGCTTGATATCTTGCACTTCGACGCCAAGGCTGCTTGTTGTCTGTTGTTTGATTGTATTTCTTACCCATGGCTGCTATATCGCCTACTTTTTGTTTCAACACCAATTCGTTGATGCTAGCACTAGTTTGCTTGGCTGCCTGGCAAATTTCAGTGGCTCTTTTTAAGGTTAAGTTTGATTCCCGGAGAAGTCGATCTTTTACCCTCTTGTCTCTGGTTGCACAGACTATTCTATCTTTTATCAGCTCTTCTCTTAATGTCCCGAAATCACAGTTGGCTGCAATTTTTCTCAGTTCTGATAAGAAACCATCAAATGTTTCTCCTTCCATCTGAATTCGCGTATTGAATTTGTGTCTTTCTACACTAATATTAGTTTTCGGAATAAAATATTCATCTAATTTCGTTTTTATTACCTCCGGATCTTGTTCATCTGTTTCATTTAAATCTAAAGTTTCTAAAATACCTGCGGCTTCTTCACCCATACAATGAATCCACACCGATGCTTGAATCTTTTTATCTTTGGTACTACAACCACTTGCGTTTATATAAACGTCCATTGCTTTTCTAAACTTCTTCCAGTTTTGTCCAAGGTCCCCCGTCATCGACATACTTTTCGGTTGTTTTAACGATTCCATTTTTTCTTCTATTCTTCTTTTATTCAGATTTCCCTGTTCATTACTGACTGCGCCATGTAATAATACTACTTTTGTATTGTGAACTATTAATTTATTGATTAACAACGTTACAACAAAATGGCTGTTCGCTACTTCGTAGACGCTAGAAGAATGGTGACCGCGTCTTTCCGCGAGTCGTATTGGCGTGGTATTGCATAGGCAACTTATATAACACATACATTTCAGAAACTGGTTCGAAGTGACTGACACTTCGAACCAGTTTCTGAAGAAGGTTGCAACATGGCATCCGAAACGTCAAACTTGTTCTTAAAAGACGCACGGCAAAACCCGAAAGTCTCTAGTGAAAGCCTTCGTACTTATAGCTGTAGCACTGATACAATAAATTAAAAATATTTTTCATTGTTCCTTATTGGTTTTAATTTTGAAATAAAATACTATATTTTTATCTATAAGAAAAGCCTCGAGCTCAAAAATCTTACTATTCAAACTCCGCACATTATAGTGTAGTATAGATGTAACCATCCATTACATAAATCGTTTACAATCGGACCACTTATAGCTAAGACATTTCCTCGTATACGCGCAAATTTGGAAAATTTTGAGTACAATTTCCTGGATCACTTAGCGAAGGTTCGTTTCTCGCGCGATCAAGTTCGACCACATTTACCGTAATTAAGATCCGATCATTGGAACAGCCATGTTTTTCGCCGATATTAATAACTAATTTAGCAATATAAGATAATAACTTACGTTTACCAGACAATCTCACATGCAAACCATGCCTAGTTTTATCTATTTTACCTATTAAAGAATTTGAGTTTATAACTGATGCCAGCTGGTTTATTTTACTGATTATTTTAAAAATTGCTCTATTATTTGCGCGAACCCTCCCAACTTTTTCATGTTCGTTTGGAACCACGGTGACGATACTATCACTCGAATCATTCAAATCAACATCAATTTCACCATATTTGCTTGACCGAGAGCTTTGTTTATTTATCTCGTTCGTTAATTTCAATTTTAATTCATACTTATTATACTTTTCAGTTCGAAAGTTTTAAAGAATCCACATTTATTTCATTCATGTTGTTGTTTTTTGTTTATAGTCCACTAACAAGTGATACGCATACCATAAACACGGAAAACTGTCACACAACGATTCATAAGAAAAGATCACTAATTTCACTAATTACTCTTCTACTCAAACAAGTTTTTTCAATATTACTAGTCAGTGATTCATCTGTGGGGAGTTTACAATTTCCCTTCCTAGTATTTCACTCGCAAAACCTATTCAAACACGAGAAAATTTATACGCTGTTCTTTCAAGTTAGAGGAGATTGAAAACCTAATGTAATAGTTTCCTAAACATTCTAAAACATGTTTGTGATCAGAATTTTTTCAGATTCAACAATAAATTTTACAATATGACTGACGGACTCCCTATCGGTTCACCGATATCACGGATAATGGCTGACATTTTTGTTAATTGGTTTGAACTAGGCTTTGCAAAATTACCGGCTTTTGATGCTACCGGTAATACCGAAAAAATATATATGTATTATCGGTAATTACCAATAATACCGGTATCAAACAGGGTATAATTTTGGGACCCACATTCTTCTGTTAGACAGAAAACGAAAACTATGTATCCATTTCTTTATTTATAAAATAACTCAACCATTGTTAAAATTTAAAATAAAACAAAAACTAAAAGTTTATATTTCTCTAAAATATTATCTAAACATATCTTATATAAAACAAAAAATTAATGTTTATTCTATTTTAGTTATTTCTAAATTAGTTTGTGTATTGAAATGAACTCGCAGTATACACAAATTATCTAACGTTTCGTCGTTTAAGCGTGAACGCATTTTGGTGCATAATAAACCTGCAGTAGAAAATGCTCTTTCTGAACAAACACTTATAGGTTTAATTGATAACAAATGATTATAAACCAAGTTTAAGTATTCTCCACGTTTGTTACTATTGCAAAATTTTATAATTCGTTCCGTACCTGCTTAGTTATGTTATTTGTATCTGTCATATTAACTTGCACAGAACAGCAGTTGTTGAATTAGCTGTTGAATCAGCAGCTACGTTAGATGAAATAACAACATTATCGTCATCACAGGCTTCATTATTGTTATTCAAAATATGAGAATTTTTCTTATTTGTCATCAATCGATCCGTAACTTCGATAATCGATTTATTTAGTGTAGCTGTCGAAATTACATTAAATAACATGTTATTAAATAACATCATATTTCCAAGATTTTACACCAAAAAACAATAGTAGTATGTAATTTTACCCTATCACCCTAATCTAGAAAATAACTTTAAAAGTAAAATCTACAATATAACGCCTGCCTTTAGATCCAATAACAGCACCACTTGTTAATTAATAACAAACATAAGTTTCAATTTTGGGAAAAAAACGGTAATAGGCCAAACAGGTAGAAATTTAAAAACTAAATACAAAGAACATATCTCAAAGAGTAATTCGGCTTTTTTCAGACACATTACACAAAACAACCACAAAGCTAGTTTAGATCATGTAAAAATTGTTAAAAGTTTAAATAAATCTAAAGAAATGGATATGTGGGTGGAGTTCTATATAAAAATAAATGAACGAAAAAGTCTATTAAATGACACAACTGATTTGTGAATATAATCTATTATATTTTTCATTTGTTTTAGGTCCGATGAAGAGAGTTAAAGAAGAATTTTTAGGAACCTCAAGAAGCCCAACATATTCACCGTTCAAATACGTCATCGAAACATTGTACCATTACTGTTTATAAATAGGAAAAGATCGCGAGGAGCAGCATCACTTATTCTACTTCTTTACAACTTCTTACAACATTCATTATCATCGTTAAGTTAAGCAACCAGGTAAAATAAACATTGTCTAGTTGGTGCAGAAAGAAAATAAAGTTAATTGGGGGATTTTTGATTCATTTATCAAACCCCTTCGAACTCACACCAATATATTATTCAGATTTTTTCACCAGTTGTGGATTTCAAGATGCCACTATTTATTGCGATGTTGTTTGTTAATTTACCGTTGACTCTTGCCTGTATATTACAATTCACATATAGTATATCTTCTATTATCTGTATTATATTAACCGTATATCTCTGTCAAATACTTTTTTAAGATACATGAAATACAGATAGGCGGGTTTATCGTTACCACATGAGGCAGGATAAGTACTACATTAGTGCATGGTTCTCCAGAAACCGTCATCTTGTCATTATATTTATCTAAAGGGGTGTCTAATTTAAACAAGAAAATGTGTATAAATGGACAATGTTAATCTTTATTTATTTCATTTTTAAACTTTCTTTTCTTGTTGTGAAACTTGTTGAAAAACATTTATTTTTAATAACATTTGTTTTTGAGTGGCTTTTTGTTTAGAACTCAATAGGGCCACCTGTCTACTTCAAAAACAAAACATTTTTTACAGTTAGGAACACTAAAAGTAACAGTTAACATTTCTTTTGGTAATAAATGAACATTTATAAATTATATTAATAAAAATTATTTTACTTAAAAATTATATTTTTCCTATTCATATCAGTTGGTCAGTTTGTTAAAAATGTTAAATTAGTAATTGTTACTTATAAACGGAAGACGCTTGAACGTCATCATCTATATAACAGAACCAATTCGTAGTTGGACTATCATCACGATTATCTTCGACTTTTGGTAACCCTACAATATCTTTTATAACATTTGTTGAGTGCGTAGCTTCTTTTATTTGGCAATAAATACCTTCAGCATCATTTATTAATTTATTTACATCTAATTTTAATGATAGCTCATTAGTATGCTGTAACCAAAAAAAATAAAATGTGTTTAATCTTGTATTAATGTTAATTTGTTTAATTACTTTCAAAATTTCAGTAAACCCGTAATTCCTTTCAATTATAGCCGATTTTTCATTTAAAAGAATTCCAACCGATATTAACAAATGGAAATTTTTACAAGGCAGCCCTGTCCATAATACTTCCCATAATCTCATTATATCATCCATTTCTAAATCTCGTTTAAACCAAACGAGTAACCAACGAAAACAAAAGAACATATTTCCCGATTCATGAGTATCTAAATAATTTAAAAATTCGGGATCAATAAATTCTAATAAGGCGCGAAGGTTTTGAAGCTGTTTTGTCATACCAGCTTGGTCAATATCAAAATTGCTTTTCTAAAATTAGTTATTTTGAGGTATAAATGTTGCTATGTAGTCTTTTACTTACCACTTTTTCTATAAAACCAGCAAAACACCAAAATGCATCCATTTCCGATTGCATTAAATATAAAATTGGTGAAAGTAAATCACTCATCCCTTGCACATAACCTAAATCAAAATTATACATAACATATGTCAATAAAATATCATGTAATTTTTGCAAATTTGGATTATTATCGCCAGCATAAAAATCCATATATCTATCAGTTCTATTAATATCTTTTTCAATGATATTCTTTCTTTGCTGATAATTAAAAAAATTATTTTCTTGAACTTCAGACATACTCATCCATTGGTTTTTCATTTTAAAATATTCAGCTTCTTTTAATTTATAAACATTTTTGCGATTTTGTTGTGTTGAATTCCAGTCAAAATAATTCAATAAATATTTCCAAACTTTTGTTCTTAATTCAGGGGTAACCCCCCCTTGAAAAATTATTATTTTCAGCTTTTCAATATCCACAATTCGACCGTGACAATCTTTTAAGGCATTCCATTGCTGCTCAGTTAATGGATGGGATCTTGGAAAATCTTTTCTATTGGGTAACTTTGGAAAGTTTGTTTCAATTTTGCATTCACCTTGCATGGTTATTGTTGTTGACGAATTCTCTGAAAAATTTTTCAATAGATACCACATATAATTAGCTTCTTCACCAGGAAATAATGATAGTTTATTGAGAGTTTTTTTTAATTGATTTTCAGCTTCATTAATTTCACCGATAACCTCAAAGTGGTTTTTATCTCTTCTAATTGGAGCAGTTTTAATGTATTGCTTTAAAATATGATGAAAATAATCGCAGTTTTCACTTTTAAAAGAAAAGCTACACAACGGTTCACCACTCCCGTCATTAAACGTTAATTTTCTATGATTATTTTCTAATTTATAGCTTTTAATATCGCTCAATTTAATTTTTAAGTACTGACTTCTAGTTGCTTCTTCTAAAAGTAACATTGTGCTTGAAGTTTTCGTTCTATCTTCAATGGTGTTTACAACTGTCCATTCTTGCGCTTGAGCATCTGATTCAGTTGTAAAACCCGGCAAAGGTTTCCATTCGACGTATAACGAAGAAGAATTTCCATTTTCATACATTGTAATAAACAAAGTACCTGTACCTCTTAAGTATTTAATCTGCGAAGCTGGTCCTGATTCAAATGAAATACCATCTTGGCAAAATAATTCGTTTACTTTTGGATAACCTTCAGGCGGTTGTAAATTACTGTTTGCGTTTTCTTTTGATGATTGATTCATTTTCCATAAAGAAAATTAAAGCACAATCACTATGAACTTAACGAAAACTTGTTTTTAAGTAAATTATGATATGGATTGTTTAAAATCTACCACCTTTACTGTATTTATTATGTAAGTTTATGACATTCGATACTTTGTAATAAAACGTGTTGGAAATAATTACAGAAAACTGTAAATTGTATTTAAAAGAATCAGTAAAGGTAAAAATAAGATTTTTATTATTATACTTGTAATTATACTTACATTAAAAAAATAAGATATAGTTATTGTTATATTATGTAAATAAAGTTTGATACAATTTAAAATGTAATTTAATTGTTGTAATTCTAGGGGTATTATATTCTAAGACTTGTAGATGGCGCAACGAAATGCATAGAGAAAATTAATAATAGCGTTCCGTATTTTGATGACCGTACCGTATCGTACCACAAAATCGTTCTTCTTCAGACATCTTGCAATCCGCTCCGTCACACCTGAAACATAAGAGAGGAAGATAAAACCGGCTCTTCCCGTGTCTTCCCTCTGCTTGGGTTGGTTGGTGGTTCGCTCGACATACCTTAAAGGGCCCATACACCTGCGAACAAATTGCACAACAGAGGCTGTTGTGCAAAAATTGTATGGTGTTGTTCAACGTGATGCGCAACAAGTTGTAGAAATTCAAAATTGTTTGAAATTAATTGCGCAACGGATGACGTTGTGCAACTATTGCATCATATATGGGTCAAGAGGTTGTACAGTTAAGGGCAGGTTTGGACAAGTTCCGCATACGCCACACACTAGTAGTACTGATAATTTTAAAATGGCGAACTTTATAAACAACAAAGACTTTTGGAGCGAATTTATTAATCTATATCGCCAGTTGCCAGAAGTGTGGAAAGTGAAGAGTGATGTGTACAAAAATAGAAACAAGAAGAACGTCGCGTATGAAAAACTAACCGAAAAATTAAAGGAAATAGAACCTAGCGCCGATAGAGAGATGGTGCGAAAGAAAATAAATGTTTTGCGTACTGCGTATCGGAGGGAATTGAAAAAAGTAGTGGCGAGCTATAGATCTGGCACAGGCACCGAAAATCTTTATGAACCAAGTTTATGGTATTTTAAAGGATTAGATTTCCTTAGAGACCAAGAAAGTCAATTACCAGGGACTTCTACCATGGACGAGCCCCAAGAGACTGAAAATGAAGGCAGGGTAAGTAATCAAATCAGTTATTATTTAAATGCTGTTATTATTTTGAAATAATTTATTTAAAAAGTAATATATTTTTAAGCACAACTGTGAAAAACGGATAATTTATAGTTAAGATATAATGTTGTCCTGCCACGGAACAGCTCCAACAGTATTAAAGTAATTACAAAACTGTGCTCTTACTTCTTTTGCTGTTGTTGTACTGTTTCTCCCTTGAAGTGGTTGTAGTGTTTGTAACGTAGGATCTGCTCTCCAATCAGCATTTGTAAACTCTCCGGTATTTATATTTTCAACATCTATGCCGCCTTGGAAGTAACACTCTACATTTTTATGTCGTAAAAAGTTGTGCAAATAGCAACATGCTAATGTTATAGTAACAGCTTTTTCTGGACATAGATTAATTTGACATAAAAGAATTCTAAATCGAGAAGCTAGTGTCCCAAATGCATTTTCAATAATCCGACGGCTGCGTGACACCCTGTAGTTATAAATTTTTTCTTCCTTGGTGAGGTTTCTCTTGCTGAATGGTTTCATTAAATTCTCCAGAAGTGGGAAAGCGTCATCCCCTACGAAAACATAAGGCAGGAAGGCCCAAGTTCTTTTCTACAAGTTTTTTATAGAAGAAGGTATTTGAAAACACCCCTGCATCAGAAACACGTCCATTAGCGCCCACATCAACCATCAAGAATTCATAGTTTGCATTTACAATTCCCATTAAAACAATACTAAATGAATGCTTATAGTTGAAGTAATAGGAGCCTGTTCCGGGGGTTTAAATATGTGTATATGTTTACCGTCTATTGACCCTAAGCAAAGAGGAAAATTCCACTTCGTTTCAAAATCTTTACTTACAGCTCTCCACTCATTTTCACTTTGTGGTAGCTGAAAGAAACATATCGTTAGTGTCATTTATAGAATTGCATCTTGAATCATGCACAATTGAAGAGCCCACTGCAAAAAAGACGAAAGATTTCTTGAAATTCCGCCTTTTTGCAGTGGACTCTTCAATTATTATTTATAGAATTGTTTAATAAAGAAAAGTAGGAATATTATAAACCCATTTTGGCCTTTTATAGGATTCTTCTCGGGACGATGGTAACCCAGAAGCAAATGCAGCAGATGAGGAAAATCCAGATAATTCTCAAGAAATAGAAATGCCGGAAGCTGCCACAGGACGTAGAGCTCCAAAACGAAAAGGGACAACCGAGGAATCTCAGACCCGAAATGAATTATTAAGAATGGCTTGCCAACATCTGCGTGCTTCCAACAATGAGGTAGACATTCTAGCGAAAAGTTGGGCACTGGAGCTAGTGAAAATGTCGCCCGAGCAGCAAATTCACGCGAAAAAGGCCATTAGCGACATCTTATATGAAGGGCGTTTAGGAACCCTTCACAGAAATTCTGTAACAATAAATGGGCCAAACTCACGTCTACTTTCATACGGATATTCACCTCATACAAGTAATAGTAGTCTATCTCAATCATACCCTCCATCTCCAGTACAAATCACCACTCTAGAGAACAGACCACAACATTCATCCCAATACGTGTACCCATCACATTCAAATAATACAAAAACTCATTACTCCCCAGCTCCGGTACAGATAGGCAGACCAGAAGACCCATATCCAGACCCAGATTTTATTTAAATATATTGTAGTAGGAGAAAGTTGCCCAACAGTCAAATAACTTCAGTTTTTCAGGTTTTATATTACTTTGTTTATTTTTAGTTCATATTATTTGTATTGTTATTTTAATGAACGTTAATAAAGTAATAATTACTTACCTTTATATATTTCTTCAAAACCTTTATGATTGCGTCACAGGTCTCTATAATAATCTTTCCAAGTGTTTGAGCAGCTATTGCTGTTTCGAACTTTAAACCCTCGTAAGTAAGCCCAGAAGTAAGGTATCGTAAAGTTGCAAATAACCTTTGCTTGGGTGATATTGCTTCTCTCATTATAGTATGTTGTTTTTCTATAAGTGGTGTTATCATTACCAATAATTCGCCAAAAGTAGTGGGGTCCATTCGTAAATAATTTTTGTAATCTAGTGGTGAACTCAATTGAAGTTCCTTGAGGAGATTTGCGTGGCTAAAAAGGGATCTTTTCTTCAACCACTCTTTCATCCATACTCTCCTCTTCCTCCTTCTTTTTTTAATACCAACATCCTCGGAGGTTATAGCAATTATTATAGCTAAACAGGCCGCTTCGTCAGATGGCATGTTTCCGTATGAACGCAACACATACAACTGAGGTTTGCATAAAATAGCGCACAGTGTATGGCTAACCATGTTTGTACAACACTTTGTTGCGCAACATCAGGTTGCCCAATATGTATGCAGGTGTATGGGGCCTATTAGAGTACAGCCGGTATTCTGGAGTACATCTTCTAGAAAGAATTCGTCTTTCTTTAAATTTTTGTCCTCTTTGATCACTGACTTCATCTGTTGTGGATTAAAGCCTGTAGATTCCCGTTCGTGTACGTCTTCAGTAAAAATATAATATAAATGTAAAAATCAGAGTCCCTGATGATGGCGTAAGCCGAAACCGGTAAGACCAATAATAAATTTACTGTGACCAGAAAAAGTATTGTTATTTTATTTTAATCTACATTATACATATAAAAACTGGACGATATGGATCATTCCTTTGATTAGAATTTCTTATTAAACTAAAATTAGGAAAAGGTTTAAACCTTTTCTTAAAAGACGCACGGCAAAACCCGAAAGTTTCTAGTGTTAGTTTTAGTTTTAGTTCTAATTTTAGTTTAATTCACACCGGCCGTGAAAGCCTTCGTACTTATAGAATTTGTTATGTTAAACGTTTAGAATTGTACAAGTTATAATGGTAAAAGTTTATAATTTTAAAATTTAAAATGTTAAAAGTTTGTAATTTAACTGTTTATAATGATAAAAATGTATTACTTTGTACTATGTTTATAACATTTGACTCTATCCTGAAATCTTTCCGAAAAAATCTGTGATGCTAAGCAAGTGGTGAGTCTTGCCTCACCGTAAATTAAAATCATGTCCGTTTTTTTCGTTACTTAAAACTGCAAATGGCATTTTGAACACTGAGTGCAAACACAACTTCCATATCAACTCTAGGAAAATCACACGTAAATTGAACCAAGAGAACTAGTCGTGTTCTAAGTCTTTTTTACACCTTAAATTACTTAAATCTCCATTTGACTTGTACTTGTTCAATTTTAATTTAATTTTCTCGAAGTTAACTTGATTATGAGCCCACATGGAAAGTACGTCAGAAATCGAATATGGTTTTCAAATGTTATTACCAATGTTTTAAGCCTATATTTCATCTATTCTAGTACCTAAACAAAATGACGTCGTGTCTGATGACGAATAACAATGTTCGAAATACGATGACTCGTATTGCACTCTAAGCACAGAAAACAAATAAAAATAAATTCTTTCATCATTTAAAGAGAAAAGAACTTTCTTTTTTTATTGTTTTAATTTAAATTTTATGATGAACACGGAGAAAACCATAGCATATTTTGAACCAAAGAAATAAAAGCACGTCAAAATTACACCTTTGCAGGTAGGAAAAGAAAATAATAATTCCCCGAAACGTCATTTTTGTCTTAATTATTTTCTTCACGCATTTGTTTCAATTTACAAGACAATCTCTTGGCATAAAAATTAAATAATGTTATTTCAAACATACAACGTCTTTAATCTGTTTTTAGGAATTTCCGAAAAATTTTCTGTAAACTGAACCAAATTTTTAAGAAGAATCAAAACACAAATGCCATAAGAAAAACCAGCAAACCAAAGAACAATGTCCAGTTCCAAAATTTAACAGACATTAACTTCACGGAAGACGAAACAAATTTTTTAAATAGAGGTTACAAATTTTCTTTGACATCAAAAATTAATTTACCAATCTTAGTAGAATTAGATAACATAATTAGGAACCAGCCGGAATATAATAAAATAAAGAACGACCTAATACCATATACATATAAAAGAGGCAGAAAAACGTTTTAAAAAGCTTGATTTATCTCAGGCTCAACAATGGAAAACTCTGAACAACATCGTAAAAAAAGTAAATTAAAAGAAAATAACGCTATATTTACTAAAGCTGACAAAGGGGCCGGCATTGTTATCTAACGTCAAACTTATTTAAGCAAAACCGGAAAAAAGGAAATTTGGCGTTATGTTTAGATACCAAGAAGGTATTTGACTCAGTGTGGCATAAAGGTCTTCTATTTAAACTGCCAAGAACTAACGATTCAATATCCCTAATATTATTAATAAACAGTTTTTTGTCTGATAGAACACTGTGAGTAAGAGTGAACGAAAAATAGAAATTTTTATACTAAATTTCTACCAACAGATATTGAAAATGAATTATTATTTATGGACTTTTGTACCAACATTGAAGCATGGCACAACATTTTAATATTAAAATTTTCGCTTTAGAATCAAACGAAAAATATCGCTACATGTTGATTATCCGTCAATGTATACACACATGTCATTTCTCCACTCTCTCTGGATTATGGACAGGAAATTCAAATATCCGAAGATTGGGGGTATTTATTAGACTATTCTTATACTCAAATAAGCACATTTTTTTTCAGCATGCTGCTTAAAAAATCACACATTAACTGTAAATATATTCAGGCTTTTCTAAATTTATCTACTATTGCAACTTACTTGAGGATATAGCTTTTATATCCTCAAGTAAGTTGTTAAATAAACAATTAAGAATTCAATAAGAATACAACAACAGACATAACTATAAGAAACTATTCACAACTAAAACACTTAAAAACGACTAAACTGAATATCGAAAGAAACAAGGAGAATTAGTTAAGTTAAAATTGAAGAAGCAGTGGAATGATCATAAAGAGTGTTCTAAGAAACACTATAAGTCAAGGGAGAAATGTATCAATTGTCCTCGGTACACCGATGTTTTCGCTCCTTCTTTTCAACCTCTTGGTTTTCCGTTTTCTTTTTATCCTTGTCATTATTAATATCTGTAAATCTTCGCATATTTGAATTTCCTGTCCATGATCCGGAGTGACTGGAGAAGTCACAGCTGTGTATACATTGACGGATAATCTACATGTATCGACATTCTTCGGTCGATTCTAAAGCGAAAATTTTAATATTAAAATATGCCATGTGTCATACGTCTACACGAGGTACACAAAATTGATACAAAAGTCCATAAATGATAATTAATTTTCAATATCTGTTGGTAGAAATGGCTGCAATTTAGTATAAAAAGAATTTTTTAATCTAGTTTTTTCATTAACGTCATCTCCTCTGGCTTCATCATCGAAGACATCCTGTACAAAGAAATATTACTGCTTACTTGTTACACATACTACTAATACAATATTATATTAATTTTGTTACAATAATACTGAACGTGTAGGAAAGTAGAAAGAACCAGGTATCTCTATTAGAGAGAGGGCGTTCTAAAAAGCAGTTAGTAAAAAAAAACAAAGAGAGTTGTTGTTAGTTTTAAGTCTAGTTAATCACGTTAATAGACGTAATTAAGTAATAGATAAGAAACTAGTTTTTTATTGGGATACACGTCAAATTTGGCGACGAAGTTAAAGAGAAACAAAAGAAAAGTCACGGTCAAAAATAGAAAAAAAAAGGCTTTGTGAGGTCCATTAAGCACTATGATGTAAATCATTTCGAGACTTTTGTTGAACGGCTGGAGCAATTATTAAAAATCAATGGAGTAGATAAAGGCGAGGATAATTCCTAATTGAAAAAATACTTTTTTGCATCATTTCAAGTTTTCAACAAGGGTTGGAAACAAACACACTGAAATATGCGAAACAAACCTTACTTTTGATAGCAAGCGGCTTATACTTATCTTGGAAAATACCTATAAATTTTTATTTTAGCCATAATGGTGGACGAGCAGGACAACTGCAGACAAGGGTTAAGATTATTGAAGATTTGATTTGATTTTGATTTAAAATCAACTATTTGTACTTTTGTACTGGTTTTATTATTAAATATTTCGCTTTACATGTTTCGACTTAATAAGTCATTTTCAGAAGCGCTACAATTGACAATAAGAATGACAATAAAAATTGTTATATAATTATGAAATAAAGTTAACTTACTTGTCAAACATAGATATGTCGTGCAAAAAACATCGCATAAATGTGGAAATTAGCACATCAAAACAAATTATTAAAGTGATATTTAAAACAACAATTGCAAATCTTAATTTAAAATTATGAAACTAACACGTTAAAATGTAAAAATATAAAGTTTAAAATTAAAAACAACGTTATACGAAAAATTACAAAAATAAAATGGTTGAAATTGCAAGAGCAACATCAATAACAAATGCACATGTATTAATAGTTGAAAAAGTAATATAATTTTATATATAAGGTGTTATTATATAGTGTGAAATAATAGATGAAATAAATGAATTTTCATCATAATATAAACGAGCCAACACCATAAAAAATTTTTGTTTATAGAGAATTAAAATATTGAATAATTTAAAATGATTATGCAAAATTTAATAAGTAAGGGAATGGGGTAATAACATTTGTATTCTAAATTATTAAAATATTTTGGGATTAGGAAAAAGGGTTAGGGTGTAGAAAGGAGTTGGGTATTGTCATTCTTATTGTCAACTGTAGCGCTTCTGAAGATGACTTATTAAGTCGAATTAAATGGATCCATGTTGCAAGTTCGGAAAATTTATAAAAAAGAAAATAAAAACTTCTTACTTGCTAATATTTTTAATTTATACGGGACTAGTTTTGAGCCATTAAGCTCATCCTCAGCCGAATTGTCAAAATCACTATTAAAACAGGAAAATCAATATTTGAAACATTTGCAAAATCCTTACACTACATAAATAAAATGTTTACTATTTATAATTAAAATTAAACGACACATCAAACGCACAAACAACAAGAGTTAAAATCTGAATCTGACAGATTTAGTTAAACCAGTGAGGATGTTGTTCATTAGTTTTTGAAAGCTTTCGGGTGCGTTCTTTAACCTGAAAGGCATCCGCAGGTATTTATAATGCCCGTTGTGGGTCGTAAAAGCGGTTCTAGGACTATCGTTTACAGTAGTAAAATTGGGCATGACCCAATGAGGATGATCGATCGGTTGACGATGTCCTCGATGTTTGGTAGACGATTTGCGTTAATTGTCTTCTTCTGTAAGTTGCGGTAATCTATTATTCTTCTTCTTCTTTTAGCGCTACAGCCCGGGGTGGGCTTTGGCTGGAAAATAATATTTCTATTGCAAATTTTTATTTAAATAGCCTAGTCTTTCACTTATTTCTCGTATAACTTTAACGAAAAGTGCTTTGATTTTTTCTGGCGTATTCTGATTATCTTTCTCAGCTTTTAATGTTGTCAGGATAACGTGCATAAGTGGTATAACCATAGAAATGCTGTTCTTTGAGTTACTCAATTGTTTAGTAAGTTCTTCGAAAGGTGTCAACAATTTTAACAACAGGTCAATTGTTGACAAATCATCTAGAGAAAATGATACAAATTGTTTTGTAGTTAAGTATAAAAGTAAAGAATCCTTTATTTTAACAAAACGCTCCAACATGTAAAATGTTCTGTTCCACCTGAAATTAAAATTAGTTACACAATATCTGATTTATACACAATCGTTGGCTTACCTAGTGGGACAATCTTCAATTGTTGACAATGGAAATTGCTTCATTCTTATTTCCTGTATAGCTTTTAGTTCATCTTGTGCTACTAGGGCATGATTAAAATGTGTTGAAACTTTTTTCACCTTTTCAATTATTTCTTGAACCCATTCTTTCGATAATATCACATTTTTAATACAACACTGTATTTAATGTGTTACATTCCGAAATTTTATGTTATGTGTGGGTGACTTGTTTATGTGTAATGGGTTATGAGTTGCATACATTCGGAAACTTATTTATTATGTTTATTTACTTTGTTTACATTTTGTTTGTTTATAACATTTTATTGTATTCTCTTTCAGCAACATATTCTGAGTATTCCTTTTTTTTCTGTTGATGTTATTTTGCGCAGACGTAATTTTTTTTTGATATTTTCGATATTGGGTATAAAAGACCGTTCAAGTTTCTTCTTGAGCTCTCTCTTTCTTACTATATTACCAGAGCAATACGTGTTCGAGTGTTAAAAGAAATTTTGGTTGGTTCGCCATTTTTGGTTTTGGTGTAAAATTTTGTTTCTAATCCATATTTGTGGGACTCATCACTCGAAATAAAGTTTTGGAAAAGTGTTTTTCTTTTACCAAATTGTACGGAGATTCCGGATTTCAACGTATTTCATTACATTTTCTTCTGTCCTCTGGTTAAACCTCGAACATCAGAGGTTTTTGTTGAGGGGAGCAACTTTTGGCATCTCTTATTGGAACAACTTTTTTGTTGGTATTTTGGAACCATTGTCCAAGGGTATAATTTCCATTACATCCTAAGGATTCTAATTATTTTTTTTTGAACAAAACAAAGAATATTACCTTACCTTTCCTGAGTCACCAGAATTTGTTGCTGAGGATTTATTTCGAATCGGACCGGTGATCAAGACTTGGAGTAAAGGTCAGATAGAACAACATACTATTATTTTGGTCATTGAAGAATTTGTATCATATATTTTTTAATTTTTTTTGATTTTCCTTAAGAAAATCTTTAATTTAATTAATCTTTGGAACATCAAACTTTTTCAATTTTTTTTAAATATCATTTCATTTTTTTTGTATATTCTTGTTTGGCGATTTTTTTTTTAATTCTATTTTTGGCGTTGATTTTTTTTTTATAATTTTTGATTTCACGTTGAGCTCAACCATACGGAGTCAGACGCGGGTTAATTTTTCATTTTTTTTTGGTATTTTGATTTAAATTTCCTTTTAGTTTTGACTTTCATTTTTTTTTTAAAGCTCACAAACATCAATATAGTCTTTTTTTGTTGTTTGAACCTAAAACTTTACCGTTTTATAATTTTGTTATTAGTTTTTTTTTTTTTACTTACCTGTTATTTACGGGAGTTTTAATAAATTTTGTCTGCAACTCAAAACCCATTTTGTTGAGCGTTTGTGTTTTGTTGTGTTATTTGTTTATATCACCATACTCCATCATCTCACGTCACAGTTCGTGCTGTACGCGGGGTTAACTGTGTGGCGCCATATAAATACCCCTCCCTTTTTCACTGAGCCGGTCCAGGACTCGCGTACATCTCAGGGTGATAAAAACTAGTTTTGTCCTTGTTGAAAATTACGTTATTTTTTTTTGTTTTGATTTAAAATCTTTTAACGCATTTGGCGTCATAAATGAATCACTCAATTAAAATCAGTGAAACCAGATATCTGCATTGCTTTAATCATGTTGCTGCCATGATCGCGTACCACACAGTGAACAGCATCGTGTTTTATACCCCATTCTTCAAGGATGGATTCAATTTTTGTCGAAATAACTTGACCCATGTGACGTCCTTCCATTATTTCACATTTCAAAATAATTCTTACTCTTTCAAAACCTTCGTTTACACCATGAGCAGTCAAACTAACTAATAAAGTCCCAGAACTTGTATCAGACCAAACATCAGTTGTAAAGGATATTTTCTCAACATCTTTTAATAATACTTTAATTTTATTTGCCACGCTGTTATATAAATCATCACATACAAGCAACGTAAAAAACTGACGGCCCCTCAATTTATATCATGGTAGTATTGTATTGATCAATCGTCGAAAACCAGCACCTTCAACGAAGTTGAATGGCAAGTCTTCCAAAGCAATCATTTCGCCTATTAGTCACTAAAACACGACCTGTAATTCAGTTCCTAAAATAAAAATTATCTTTTTTTAAAAAATTTGTTTCTTTGAAACGAAAACGAAAGTGGCGCAGTCAGTAGGATCGTGTAAACGTCGCGATTAAGTGTTTCGATAGTAGTTTTTCAAAACTTTAGTGACGCGACGGACAAAGTGATCGTCCACGGAATTAACAAAAGAGTTGTGAAAGTGAAGAAAATTCGTGATTTGGACCCAAGGCCAAAAAAACAACCCCAAGGATTCCTATATATCCTCTAGATAGGATATCCTTTCCTATCTTCTTTCCAATCTCCGACAAAACCCGACGACTAGAATACAATTTCCCCTAGTCCAAAGGAAAAAGAAAAGTTATCTTTTATTACCTTTTATTCTTGTTTAAAAATTTCAACTTTCTGAATAAATCAACTTATCACTCCTATTGATAATCATGGTTGTTCAAAATTGTCGCATTAATAGAATCTCTGTTAGCCCTGTTCATTGAGACTCGCGAGGAGTTCATTTCTGTCCACGTCGATCTTCAAAATCAGAATAATGTCAAATTCATTTTTGTTAAAAATAATTAAAAGTAAATTCGAATGCGAAGCAAAAGGGTTAATAGCATCTCGTGAACTTAATAGTTGGAGCGATATAAAAAATTTTTTTACGACTCAATTATTCGGATCAAAGAAGTGAGGACTCTTTACTCACCGATTTGATGCAATTAACACCACAGTATAATGAGAATCCTTATTCTTTAGGAGATAGGATTAGAACCGTGTAAATTCTCACTAAATTAAAATTAACTATTAGGGATCAAGCAGAAAAACTTTGGATTTTCAAATCCGGTGTTCGAGGATTCAGTGGACTTAAAGGCTCTATTTTCAGCTGCACTGGTAGTGAAAAAATAAGAACAGCCATTTACGTGCCTAAACACGTCCAGGCCTTATGCTGTCACAACATACAGGAGGGGACATAACGAATGTTAGAATTCGTTGTACCGTCAATCGTAGGGATACGGACATCAGGTTTTCTTCAGTTTACCTTCCGTTCGAGGGCCAGGCCCCTTCCGAGGAGTTGGTGAGTCTGGCAGAGGACGCTAGATCAGGTAACTGGAATCTCGTCATAGGCTGTGATTCTAATGCGCACTCCGTGTTCTGGGGCTGTACCGAAGACAACAGCAGGAATAAGTCACTTTTAGACTTTATTTTCAGCAACAATCTTGATTTACTTAATCGGGGCTCAAAGTCAACGTTTGTTACTGCCAGAGGTCAATCAGTGAGTCACACAGGTGATCACCTTCGATCTTGGTATAAAAAAGATCGGGAAAATCCTGAAGCGCAACCCTAGGAATACTGATGTGAACAAGTTCAAGTCGGTGTTTGAGCGATATAAGGTTAATCCGGCCCAATTTGAATAGGGATGTTAAGGAACGATCAATGGTCTTGACAGATTCCCTGACAATTGTGTATAAAAAGGCTTGTCCACTGTCTGGAAGCTGATTCAGGACGTGCCACTCTGTGGTGGTGCACTGAGCTCAGGGACCTTAAGAGAGAGGTCAGAGCAGCCTTCAATTAAGCTGTAATAATTCGGGAATTATTTAATGGTTTTAGGAATAAACCATACGAATTATATATTCCTGGCGTGCAACCTTTTCCTTTTAGAAACCAAAAATCACGTCTAGCGTTTACGACCAACGTCCGGGATGAAGACCAGACGTCGTGATAAATTTTGGGCAAAATTATGTCTACGAAATTTTATGGGGAAACGTAGATAACGAAGAAGTCGTTAAAAATAAAATAGACGGTAGACAACGTAAAGTTTGATGGGTCCCACAGTTTGGAAATTATGTGATGATTTTTGGGATTAGCTAGCGGCGGATGTTATCTTCTGGCCCCGTGGTCAAAAATTGTTCCTTTCCCCAAATTCCCTCATTGGCTCAGAAAATTATTGTAAAACATCCGTCCCGTATGGATTATCCTCAGGTGTCGGGGACATCCAGGCGATAGAAACGCCTCAAGAAGGTTTTTGCACCCCTCCAACACCCGAGGTTACTTAAGAGGTTGCAAGACCTTTTTCTACGGAATGACAATCACAATCACAATCGAATCTAATTATAATCATAAAGATCATCTAAGAGATTTTTGAGTCGAAACCTCATCAGCGCTCCGTTAGACAGTAACTTAGAATTTGCTTTAATGTCAACTCTAAGTTCCGTCGCATATCGATATTCTTTGCACTTCGGGCATCCGTGTCGTGTCGGTAATTTGTGTCTCCACTGAGGATTTGCTGCGAGTGTGGTGTTGAAACCTTCTTGGTTAAATTCCGAGAAGCCACCAAAAGGGTCTAGGTTTGCGATCAACGTGCCACCGAATCGGAATACAAGTCCTGAGTAAATCTGTTTGACAGATTCCGTTATCACCTATCTGTCAACGAGAATTAGCTGTCGGCGTTAGATTCAGAAAGATCTCCTTTAAGTAACGTCGGGTCATAAATAACATAGATACATTTAAGATTCATTTTGTTTCATGTCAATTCTTTTTTTTTGTTATTTTGTTAATATAGTTTAAGTGTGGTTAGAACACTTGTCTTTTGATTTCCCTTTTACTGACAGCGCCTGAGTGCAAGAACCCACGGTTCTGAAATAGTAACGCGCTTGTCATTTAGTTTTGATTGATTTGCTAAGATCAATTAGGGGTCCTTAAGACTAAGAATTAGAAAGCGCGAAATACTGTTTCTGGTGGTAGCGCATGGATGTTTTACACTCGATGTTATTTTTATCCAAATAAATAAGTAGATGTTTATTACAAAATAAAGTTTAATTGTTTCTTTTGTGTCTAGCGCTACTTGATGTATGTATGTATGTACAGGGGTGCGTAATTTTTACGCGCACTTAGGTCCCAGTGGGCCTCTCAAGCGCTACTTGGTATTTAGATAAAAATAACATCGAATGTAAAACATTCATGCGCTACTAGATTAAAATGTTAATTTGTTTTTTGATGGAGAAAGAAATGAATTTTTAAGAAAAACAAAATACTATCGTAAAAAGAATGTTTTTAGGATGTCAATAATAAAAAAAAATTTTGGCATTCCATTTATAAAAAAAAGTTGACATTCGCCATTTTGACATAATTCGTCCAATTGAAAATATATCACCATCGTGTAGAGAATGTCCTAAAACATATTACTGACAAATATTTTGAAAGTAGTACCCATAGAGTGGCTTAAAAAAAAATAAAGCGCTTATTCTGAATCAAGCTGTATAGTAGCTCATGGAGACATAAACCACACACCGACTGCAGAAGACTGGCTGTTAGCTGAGAAGATCTGCATGCAGGACAAAATGAGGTGGTCAATAAACAGCTTTTCACCGTTAAAAGCTCCTGGAACTGATGATATCGTACCCGCCCTACGGCAGTGGGGATTGGAAGAAATGATACCTCACCTAAGGAACATCTTTCAGGGATGCCGGGCGCTTCGCTACATTCCCAGTTGTTGGCGTGAGGTTTTGGTGAACTTCATACCTAAACCGGGTAAGCAAAGCTACTTCCTTCCGAAGTCTTTTAGACCAATCAGCATCTCCTCATTTTTATTAAAAACTTTAGAGAGACTGTGCGATCGTTACATAAGGGATATCTGTCTTGTCGATAGACCCTTAGATTCTAATCAACATGCATACACCCAAGACAAATCCACACTGACAGCTCTTCACTGTGTGACCAGCTTTGTCGGGAGGGCGTTGGACTCCAAAGAGTTCGCCTTGCGAGTATTCATAGATATAGACTTTGATAAGACGACCTTCGTTGGTATTAACGTGGCTTTGGTTGAGCATAATGTTCCTCCTACCCTCTGTGG